TGAAGGCTATTCAAACCCTCGTATCCGTCAATTTAAAAATATTTGAATAAAAAATCATTTGAAAGAGCTTAGAACAACATAATTTAAACGCCAGGTTCTAACTTATAGTTGCCAGCAAGAAAATCTATCTGTATCTTGCACGTTCTATATTTCTTTGGAACACAATAGCGGAGCATAGCCAGGAGGTCTCGAGACGTGTTAATGTGTCACATGCAGTCATTTGTGCCGCTATCTTCCGCTTTACTTCTGTTACGCCACGCTGCTCTATACGTTCTTGCTACTTTCAAGCGAGATTGGAAAAGTTCAGCGACGTTCAACGTTCTTGGAGGGGGGACGATGTAAGCCAAGGATAACGCTGTTTTCACAGTAAATTCCCATTTTAATAGTTGCAGCGTCTGCTAAAGACGTTGTATGACTTACCGGGCTAGTTTTCCAACGTGATAGGCAGCCGGAGAGTTAACAGTCAGCCAAAATAACAAAAAGTCGAGTACAGACGTCGTTGCATGCAGTATGAAGAAAATAGTTACATTATTTAGAAACTTTCTTGACCCATTACTGGTAATATTTATAAGAAAGAATTGAACCTACCAACTTCAAATACCGACAGACAGCTGTTTCGACCTATATTGGGTCTCATCAGTGTCGGGCAACTTGGTGTAGTGGAACACACCCAAAACCAAAGACTAAGATATACTTAGATTTGATCTGGAAAGAAATTGGAAATTGGATCATCCTTAATAAAAACAATCTTAAATGATAATAATATGATCTATTAGTAAAGACAAGATAAAATGGATAAAAGCTAAGACTTTTCATTATTTTCTTGTATAATCTTCTACAGATCAAAAATTACCATAACTCATTAGCATATCTTTACATCGACTTCGATTTGTAGCTATCAGATGTCCCTAAAAGCTGTCGCCCCCATTTTAATGGAGTTAAGCTGATTGTGTGGAGGGTCGACACTACCAAATCAATTCGGGCGATAAGGGAAGGTCTATATCCCTCGCGACGTCGCGCCTTATCTTATACGTCTGTTAACACAGTTTCAAATGTATTGGTGTGCTGGCCGATTTGCAAGGGTCCTGCTGCTTCGTTGATAACAGAATTTATATTTAGGATTTAAAGAAAGAATTTTATAAAAAAAAAAACTCTTAACCAACCAGCTCTACCTCTTATTTAATTAAGGTATATCGCTTTGTTCTTGAAACAGATTTATTTAGGTATAAGCTAAGTCGGGGTTGGGTCAACAACAAGGAAAATCAATTTTGACTCTGGTAGCGATAGGCATCTACGAAACACATTAACACGATTACGGTACGGGGCACACCAACGTGCTGTATCTTTTAAATCTACGCCAATACCCTTTGATACGTTTAATAGGAAATACACTGATTTTGTTTACTAACTGACCATACCCTTTTCCACCAGATTCTTGTGCCACAATTAAAAATGATTAGAAGCTAAAATTACAAAAAAGTAGAATGATGAATTTAAAATGACGAAAGGCTGATGGGGGGGGGGGGGGTAAAAAGTTTGTTAGGTCAACCAATTTCAAGTGTATTTGTAAGATAAAGCGTGGGTCAGTTGGAATCAAGGAGTGTTATTGAGAGGGCGTCAGTTCCTACCTTGAGGCCAATAAAGTACTCTTTATCTGTCAGCTAGTTTAAAATTTTACGTTAAAGGCCTTTGAGGACAAGTCTGTTTCGAGAGATCTCAAGTGCTGATGATGTATTGTATGTTTGTTTTCTCCTGTCTAAATCTGTACATTTTGTAGATATGCCAATGTACTGGATGTTTAAGAACCGTAAATATTTAGTTATACAGGGTATAAGTATAGTATTACAACTTTTCACTTTTAATGATTTTTTGGCAACCGTTGAACATTATCAGAATTTGCCTTATCTTTGCCCAGTGTCCAAACTGAAAACAGCTAGCCACAGCTTAATTGAGCTTCTCATCATAATTTAAAACAATATTGTAAATAACGAAGAAAGTCTTTATTATTAATCCAAAATAAAACGTTTATTGGAAAATACACTGACTTTACGAGTATTTACTACCAACCCTCCCTGCTCTCTGAAAATCTTTATATCATAAATTCTGGCTACATTTTACCCAGAACCTTTCCATATTATTAATGGTTCCACCTTTCTGTATTGCGCCCGATTTATTGTATATTGTCTTTCGTCCATTTTGTCAACTGACAGAAATTGATTTTCGCCCCTTTTTATTATCTGTAAAATATTAGGTTTCATAGCCGACCCGACGTGGAATATATCAGTTACGAGAAATCCTTTTTAGAACAAGAAAACTAAGACCAGTTTTTCCACCGAAATGCTGGTGAAGAAAACTAGATTAATTATTTTAAGCAATTGGTTGTGTCTTCTGGATATATATTTTGGATATACAGGGTGTACTAGAAGTCACGCACCACAGTAGTTTAATTTGTAATTATCATGACAACAAGTATAACAATATTAAAAAGTAATATCGTTACTTTAACTTAGAGGTTATTTATTTTACCTCAGACTTGACAAATGCAAATACAGTCCTTGTCAGAAACTAATAAAACCATCTATGAATACATGACTTACATATGTTAAGCATTCTCCAAACACAATATACATATAACAATACTCAGTGAGTACTACTCTCTAAAGAAATACATTTCAATATTTAAGAGAAATGCTATGACAGAATCTAATTTTTAATTTTATTTGTCAATAATTGTCTATGGTGTGATGTCAAGATACCATGGTTTGAACATTCTGTATATTATAATAAGATTTCAAACAATATAATCAAGGCAATTCAATTAATTTTAGTTTGAAAACTCAATTTTTACGCTGTTATATCTTTTTCAATAAAAATTCTCGTTTTAAACATTAAAACATAAGTAATTACTTCAATGTATTTCCATTACTAAAACTGTCTACATTGTTTAATGTCATTGAAAAACTAATTAAATTTAAAACGCATTAAGTTAAAAATGGAGCTCTAAACTAAAAAGAAGGGTAATAAACATTAAGAATTTTACGGTAGGTTATTAAAACTTTTTTAATAATGGGGCAAAAGACTTTAAAAATCGATCGATTTATTCTTTAAATTGGTGCTTGAGACAATATCTTGGAAAACAACTCTCGAGTTAATGGTAAATCATTAACAAAAATAAAACAATTTATAACATTATTAATTAATTTTCTAAAAAAACTAATAACATATCCATAGATAAAATACAAAATGACCTTTAAAAACTTGGTGTTTTAATAAAATATCGATTCAGCTAGTGGTGTCATTAAACTTTTCGTAACTATTGTTTAAAAGTTTAAACACTTTCGTGTGGGATTTTTTTTCAATAGAAGTAATCGAACTTTTAAAAGTTCAAATCTCGAAGGATTTTTCTGAATGACTTGTCAAAAGTTGAGAGGGTTTTCCCGAACAACAATTTAAAATATCTACATGTTAGAAGGATGATTAAATCCAATTTTGTATAGAAGAGCCAAACTTTTGTAAAATAAGTTTTCCTATTTTTTCCCACATTTTTCCGCTATTTTCAGTGGTAAACAGGATTTAGTCCGGACTTTTTAGTTTTTAATACAGCAATCACATTTTTACATTTGTCACTAAACTAGTTATAAATGTAATTATAATGTAATTGTGGTTATGTTTTGTTCTGGGCCCATAACCTCTTATTTTTGTTATAATTTAAATATAGGCTCAGGTTTTCTATGTATTTATTTATTTCAACATTACAACTTTTTCTTTATATTACAAGTATGTCAAAACAATTTCTATTCTGGATAAAAAAACATGAAAAAGATGAACTGTACATAGGTACATAAAATTGCCGGCATCATCCGGAATATTTAATTAAAAAAATGAAGCAACGTAAAAAGCTATTGTGGCGGTAAAGAGCTTTAACTTTCATATCGAAGCCTTCTAAATCTTGTGGGAGAGTCAGAAATGAAGTTTTCAAACTTCGATTACTTTTGCGTTTGTGAAAACGGCAATTTCGGGCTCAAAATTCAACTATCTTTATACGAATTGATATAAAAACTATTACCGGCTTATAAATAACGCCCTTGCCTTGTTTTACCTAGTTTAAAATGAAAAAATAAATTTTATATGACTATAAGTATAAAATCAACTGGGACATACGTTTTTCAACGTATATCTGACTTGAACATTTCGTGAAACCTTTTAACCCAACTCAAGATTCTATTTTTTCATAATGTTTAATATACATTCCTCGAACAAAATAAAAGTCAAATCAGCGTTTCCCCAAAAACAAATTAAACCACCCCACCGAGGAAAACGCTACTAATTATAATTACTTTGCGAGAACATCAATTCCATTCAGTTCAGTTTCATCTTATTTTCAAATTGAATTATAGCTTCAAAAACCTTGAAGCTCATTAGTTAATTTCTGTTGAAAACGCTCGTCTCTCGCACAGTTTACTTTATTATCGACACACAATTCAATTAATGCGAAAGCGTACGAACGATATTAATTAACTTCGAAATACCTCGAAATACTCTCTACACATTATTACTGTTCAGCCTAATGTTATTTATTATTCAAGCACAATTTAATTCAATTAATATCAATTTTGATTACTTCCGAGCTGTTTAACAATTTTGTACAATATGTTATTTTTCTTCTGGCGTGCGCAAAGTAACACTTTTCCGCACACATTTGCATTTAAAATGTACGTAGGTATGTTGATTTTAGACCAAATCAAATTTAGTTAGTTACTTGGTTTCCATCTCAATAAGTGTCAAACAAAGTGAAACGTCATAATATATTATAGATTTTTCCAGAAATTGAAATACATTTTGGAAGAAGAGCTACCCTGGAGCAACAACAAAGGGACAAACAGTTTTAAGGAAGATGTGGCTCTTCTGAGTTAAGCCAACTTTGTTAAATAGTACAACAAGTCACCCGTTGAATGCATTAATTTAATTAATTTAGAAAATTTTTAAATAATTAATTTTACCTGTTTGGCATAAGACGTGATGATCAAGTCGTAGATGAAACTAACTCCCAGCACACATATACCCGTTTCCTTACACAACATCCCAACAACGGCTAGCACTATTGAAGCAACGAAATGGGACCACACTTTGACGTAGACATACGTTGTTTTCCTTCTCTGCGTGTTAATATTGATTTCTGCGGACTTTTTCACGATTTTAATGCTTGCTGTTTTGAGTATGTCCTTCTGCCATTTTTTGAGGAACCTCAGGTCGTACTGTGGGGCGCTGTATTCAGGCGTGAAGTAATAGATGTTTCGGTATTTCACATGGCTCACGTAGGTTAGGAAAGACAACATAAATGCTATAGCACTTAGCAAGTCGGCTCTACCCACGATGGCCGATACAGCTTCTGTATGTATAGGATGAGCAGCAAAAAGTAATCCTGAAATGGTAGCCGATGTATCAGCTATACTTTTGGGCAGAATTTTCTTTGTTATCTTGACGAACAATCCGGTTGCGATCACGTGCAGAATTACGTTCACCAAGTGGTAGCCGAAAGGTTCGTAACCGTGTAACAGGTAGTTCAGGCGAAACGTTATGACCGCTAGGGGTCTGTAGGACCCGTGAGACCCGCTGTCCGACATGGGCGTACCCCAAAAGTCGTTGAGGAAGATGTCCAGCCATGGGGTCGATGGTTGGAGGTCTGGATTCGTAATGATGGCCCTCCTGAAATAAAAAAAGATGGATTAGTTTATGTATGTAACAAACATTTACCTAGGTACAAAAAAGTTGCTCGCTTAAGTTGTCAAACAACAAAGTAATCTGTTAAGGCAATTATCGGCAATGTTGCCATGTCATAAATAATCTTACCACTCTAAAATCCCTTTTCGATGTAAAAATGGCCGTCGGACAACGCAAATTCGAATTTCATTTTGTAATTAGCATCCATAGTGATAAATCAAGCGGAGTTAATCAGTAGGTATCACGGTGTACGCGTGGAATAATTGAAACGGCATTTGTTGAACAAAACACACCGGAAGTGGAGCGAATAGGGGTGTAAGGGGGGGTAGGGAGCGTCATGGATTTTAATTAGGTTTCGCCACGGTCTCTTTTTCAGCGCGCACCGAAAACGTGTTCTCATTTTGAAAACACAAGCGGATGCAATGCAAAAATAAAGTGTTCGGTGTTTTTGGATGTTTTTTAATGGAGTTCGTTATGTACCTCATGCATTTTTTAATGTGTTAGAATTGTCCAAATTGTCATAAATAGGTTAAAACAAATATAAATTAATTAAACTTAATTAATAAAACTTTAAAGAGAGAAGAAAAGAGATGCATGATACGGCAGTTCCCGGCCGCGCCGAGTACTAATAAAGGTTTAATATCAACATTATTAAAGTTATTTAGGAAAAAAAAAATTAGATTAAAATTATATGTATCAATTAACAAAAAAAGATGTTGTAGGTGTCTTTTTATGCTTAATAATTACTACTGTAAATATGACCTGGCAGTTAGCAACTAGCAATGGAATGGAATAGTAATTTGTGACTATAAACTTAAAATAGAAGTCTTTGAGAAAAATGTATGAGGTAAAGTTTTTGCAGAATTGGACTATCGATTCCGGGCTCTTTCAGTTTCAGGTCGCATATAATTCAGAGGACGGCTGCAGCGAATTACAGCCCGTTTTGTAAACGACCCCTTCGGAAAACCTTAAACACCGTCCGGACCGGTTTTCTTAAACAAAGCGTTGCGAAAATTTGCATGCAAATTTAACACCGTTTAGACGTTCGGTGCCGTAGCGAAAAAGTAAATGTATCCGAGTGAAAAACTACCAGCCGCCTTATTTAACGCTTTTCGGAGGCGACGTGGACCGTTATTGATAGCCCACCGTATAAATTGTTTTGCCATTGCCACACTGTAAAAATTAGGGGTAAATTTACATAGAATTCCCAGTTAAAACACTGTAAATTTGATGTAATATTTTACATAAGTATTGGAATATTACAATCTGATGTAATTATATGGTAAAAACTTGATTTTACAATAAAATTACAAAAATAAATGTGATTTTCCGTATTAACTACATCATTTCCTTGAATTTACAACGTTTTTACCATTTTATGTAAAGGTAATGTATTTTTACTACAAAATTACACTGACAAATTGTGTAAATCTCAGAACCACCCCCCTCAAGTATAGAAGTGATGCACTAGATCATTCTGGTTATAGCCTCCATATCTGCTTTTCGAAGCGTGTGTCGATGTTAGTTGTGCCGGTTTAAAGATAAAAAAGTGACTTTTATTACACGTTAATTTGTGCTTATAATATAGGTACGGTGTGGTTTGTTTTGTCTATTAAATTTTAAGGTAAGTTTTCTTTATTTTAACTTTATAAACATGTATAATTGTAGTTTTTGTGGTTTTAAATGCAGCAATATAAAACAATACAATAATCATCTTTTTTATCATAGAAATGCAAAGAAAATTTCTTTTCAATGCATTGAATGCTGCATGCGATTTAATAAGTATTCTGCCTTTAAATCACACACCTTAAGAAGTCATGCAAAGTTAAGTTTTAATCAAGCAAATAAAGAATATTGTAAGGTTATGTGTTCACTTAAAGATTGCTTTTATGAAACCAATGACAATAAGAATATAAGAGTGCATATTTATAAGCATATCCTCAAAAGTGAATTTTTAAAATGTCCCTTTTCAAATATTTGTAAAAGTAGTGTAACCTATAAAACAATAGGTAGTATAAAAATGCATTTTTTTAGAAGACACAATAATACAGATCAAAATGTTTTAAATACTAATAATATTTTTGAGTTATCTTGCGATGAAAATATTGACAGTAATGTGGAAAATAGTGATAGTAATGTGGACAATAGTGATAGTAATGTCGACAATATTGACGGTAATGTCGACAATTTAAAAAATAATATAGACAACAAAGAAACTGGAATTAGATTATTGTCTCATTTATTAATTACACTCGAAGCACAACATTTTGTTAGTTTAAAAGCTATTGAAACTATAGTAAGTAGTTTAAATGATATAGGCTGTTTAAATAAACAAATTATTTTTGAAGAATTAAATAATCAGGGTGTAACTTTTTCTACTAATAATATAGGAGATATTTTTAAAGAATCATTTGCTAGCGATAAGGGCCTATTTAATTCTAATTGGAATAGAAAAAAATTTTACTCAAAAAATTTCAATTATGTTTCTTCAGTTCAAATCCCATTAAGCGATAATAAGAATAATAATTCATTTTTTTACTATGTTTCTATCATAAATACATTAAAAAATCTTTTAAATAATAATAATGTTTTAAACTTTTGTCTTTCAAATCCAGTTTCAAAAAACAATGTTTTTTCCGATATTACTGATGGTAAATGTTGCAAAGAGTGTACATTTTTTTCCAATAGTCAAAATTTAAAAATTATTCTTTACCAAGACGCATTTGAAATTTGCAATCCCATAGGTGCTGCAAGGGTAAAACATAAAATTGTAGGAATTTATATGACTCTTGCAAACATTCCTCCTTGGCACCGCTCAAAAACCGAACAAATTCAATTAGTAGCATTATGTTATGAAAAAGACATTAAATTATTTGGCTTTTCACAAGTGTTAAAGGTCATTATTAATGATATTAAGCATATTGAATTACATGGAATAACCATTCAAAATAACATAAAATTTAAGGGCTCTCTAGTTGCAGTTTTAGGAGATAATTTAGGCAGTCATCAGATTGGTGGATTTGTAGAAAGTTTTTCCACCAATACATTTTTTTGCCGATATTGCCATATAAGTGATTTTAATAAATATGATGGAAAAGGCACACTTCATATTGAACATCGAAATGTCAATTCTTACCAAAGGGATGTTGATTTAGCAACGACAACAAATCAAATATGTAGAGGAGTGAAATCAGATTCAATATTAAATACTTTAAAATTCTTTCATGTATGCAAGCCAGGACTTCCTCCGTGTTTAGCTCATGATCTTTTTGAAGGAATTATTCAATACGATTTAGCTCTAGTACTAAAAATGCTTGTACATACAAAACAATTTTCCTTTGACTTCCTAAATAAACAGTTTCAAAGTTTGGGGTTTTCTAAAGGGTTTAATAAAAAAAACATTCCAATGTTTAAAAAAGTAGATAAACTTTCAGGAACAGCTTCTCACATTTTATACATTTTAAATATTATTCCATTTGCATTATATACAAAAATTAATTTTTTAGCAGATAATAAGTATTGGCAGTTAATTTTAATTCTTAGAAAAATTGTCAATATTGTTATGTGTTTTAAGTTATCTATAGATCAGATAGCTATTTTAAAAAATTTAATTGGTGATTATCTTGAACTAAGAAAAACCCTATTTCCTATGATTCCTTTAAAGCCCAAACATCATTACTTGCAACATTATCCTTATCTTATAAGAATTTTTGGGCCCTTGCGTCATTTATGGACCATGAGATTTGAGTCAAAACACTCCTACTTTAAAAATTGTATCAGACACAGCCCAAACTTTAAAAACCCTTTAAAATTTCTTTCAGAAAAACACCAATTGCTGCAAGGTTTATTAATGACTCAGAATCAATATTTTGATGAAAAGGCAATTTCCAATGCAACAATTTTTTCAAAAAATAATTACCCAAAAAATATATTTGATTCGATAAAAGATAATTGTTCTTTTATTAATGAAATGATATATATTTCCGAGTCTGTTACATATAGAAGTATAACATATTCAAAAGGAATGTATATTTGTATTAAAAAAGACGAGGATAATCATCATTATTTGATATGTCATATACAGTATATATTATTGAATAGCTCATTTAAAAAAATTAACTTTTGTGGTTATGGAAAAACTATTTCTGCAGATTTAAATTCTGGTCTTTATTCAATAAATGAATCAACTGAAAACTATATTTCAGCTGATTTTAATAAAATTATAAACGCTGAACCCTTAATACACTGTAAAATTAATGGGAAAGATTTATTTTATTTTAAGTGTGCTTCCTTGGAATATATGTAATGTATACCATAAATTAATTTATCATAGGTACAGCCATCGATGGGATTTAATAATATTAAAACTGTTAAATTATTAAGTCATTATTGTTTATTTCGAAAAATATTATTTTTAAATTTTATCTTGTAGGTATATAATTCTTTAAAAAAGTTTTATTGTTCTATATTGTTTATTGTTTTATTATTGGACTAGTTTTTTGTCAAGCTCCATTTTAAAGAAAATTGTAATCAAAGTTATGCCCCTTATATAAGTATATTGACCTAAACAAAAACTACTTATTTTAGAAGAAGGTAGATTATTAAAAATGATGTTATTTAAAATATGGTCAAGGAATCGAGACAATAAGAAATTTGTCCTAATTCAAGAAGAAGAAGAACATTTATTACTTCTGAGTGTAATAATAAAAGGTTATATTTATTATAAATAAATTATACATTATTATTTATTAAATATTTTAGCTTCCCAAAAATTAAACATTAATGGTTCAAAATTGGTGTTGGAAAAAGATGGGACAGAAATAATAGAGAATGAAGTGTTACTTATCCTAAAGGATGAATGTCTTATACTATTGGAAGAAGGGGAAAATTGGATACCAATGGCTGTTTCGGATATATCAGAAACAGAATCAAATTCGACTAATACTTCAACTTCAACTTTGCAGGGTAATACCTGTTCAGATTCT